ATTTATTTATAAAAAAATCATAATTTTAAAGTTAAAAATTTTGTATATATTTAATATTTTAATTATTAAAAATGAAATTTATTTAAATTTATAATAAATTTTTGTAGAATTTTGATTGAAAATCATGATTAAATTTGAACGAAAATCATTACCATTTAAGGGATAGTATTAAACAATAGAATTTATTAATTTAATTCTAAAAATGAATTTCATAAGATGTATACATACTAGGTATATTAAAATGATCAATTTTATTGTAGAAAAGCAGAATCAAATTTATCAAATTTGTCAAAAATTTTGTTTGGCTTTCGGCGGTCCCGGTTTGAAATTGTAGTCTAGATTGAATTTTAAACCATTCAATCTAACTTCAAATATCGAAATTTTTAAAAAAAACAAAAAAAAATACAACAAAAAAAAAAATTAAATCAAAATCTATAAATTATATAACAAAAAAAAATTATTTCGTTGCTACAAATTTTTAATTCCCTCTTTTTTCTGAAATCACGAAGAAACATCTGAAATATTTGATTAGTTAAATGATCGACGCGTTTTTTTCAGTTACGCGACAGACCGTAACATCTTCGATCTGCAAAATTCTAGTTTTTCATGGATAATCCAAATGATAATTCTTCATAAAAAAAATATTCTCTTTCAAAATATTCAAATAACAATAACCTGTAGGATTGCCTTTGGAATTGAATGTTACAAATAACCAAACAGAACAGGAACAAAAGGTATATATACAAAAAACATTTTTTTTTAGAAAATTTACAATTTTTATACTGTGAATTAAATAATCAATCAATGTGATATTTTTTATTTCATTATATTATTAAATTTGTTATTATTATGTTTATTAGTCGTATTGTTTACAATGCACGGAAAGAGAAAGAATACAATTTTCTACTGTGACGAGAGTTTTTTTTTTTTTTAGCAATGGGCTAACTTCAACCAGTAGAGAACGATTCGGTGGTATGAATGGTGTAGTACTTAGTGACCGAAAAAAATTAATCGCAGCAGTCGTCTACCTAGATCTCTCAATTCAACACAGTAGGTGATCCAGTTTGGAAAGTATTACACGACATGTTGTAGGAACTTTTGATAATGGGGTTTTCAGAATCCCTGGAAATATGTAGATGAGACTTTAGTTAAGAAAAAGGATATCAAAATTCGAGCAAGAGGTTAGAGAGCGGATGATTGAAAATCTAATGTTAAGAAATAAAATGGTATGACATTATGTATTCCAAATGCAACTTGAAAAGAAAATTCCAAGGATTCAAATGCCTACTATAAGTCGTCATAAGATGAACGAAAAGAAAGAAACAATAAATCTATGAATGACATTAAAGATTCCACGACTCATGAGTTTACGGAAGATTTGCAAGAAAAACTTTGATGCAACTTGGTCTTAAAAGCATGAAACGCAACAAGAATTTCAAGTTCGAGAATATAAAGATTTCGAGATTGGCAAGGTTCGCAAAGACACCCAAATCAAAAACTAAATAATCATTATTACAACCGAACCAAACAGAATCTCACCAAGGAGAACAAAGGTCTTTTCAGCAACAACGACATGAAGAAAAATATCATTTATTACGGAAGCAAGGTTATTGCGAACTAAAATAACGAAAAAGACATTGAGCAGGAACTTGAACATGATAATGGTCATGAACTTGAATTAGAGAGAGAAAATGAACTATTAACGTTGGAACGACAAAATTTAATATTGCAACGATTGCAGCTTCAGGATATGGAACCATATAAATAAGAAAGCAAACAAATACAACAATGACAAGAAAATGAACAGAAGCATTTACAATTACAATTCAATTACAACATAATTGCAAGAGCATCAGCAACAACAACAGTTATTATTGCAACAACAACAAAAAAATATATTACAAGATCAACAAGAATTACTGTAACGGCATCGTCAACAACAATTGCTACAACATCACCAACCACAATTATTAACTCATCGTTTTGACATAGACTAAGATGAGGATGTTTTGAAGAGAGTTCGCTTTTCAAAATTATGAGGTAATTACCACCGTTGTCCCCCAACAGGCAAAATTATCAAATCTTCTTTTGCACATTCAAATATTGACACTGGTAATGTATTTTGGTGAAAGCAATTCTGGAATCGCAGGTCTTTTTTCAAGTACAGGAATGAATGCTGAACCAAAAAATGTAGCGCCCGAGCAATTAAAATGGCTGTACCGTGATCCAAGTGTTAATACGTTTGAATCTTTAGGACGAAAGACACGTGATGATGAAAGATCTTTTTCTGTGTCAATAACCTGGTTCAAGATCTTCTTTAACTATTTCTATGCCTAATAATTCATCACGATTGGTTAATGATCCATTCCAAAGATTTTGGGTTGCTCCTAATTAGTTCAGCACGATTGTTTTGGATAATGATCAACAGCGATTTCATAGAACGACTTCGGTGCATAATATACCATTTGATAGATATCAATTTGGTAAAGTTTTTGAGCGAAATGACATTTCTAGTGGGGAGGTCTGAACTCAGAAAAATAATGCATGGGACGAACGGACGGTTTCACAATTAACAACGAAAATTTGTCTCCTCGTGTGCAAGCTCCTAATTCACCACCTCTATTAGCTTCAATGTTTTATCACCTCAAAGTTATCTGGATCATCAACGTTCCCAGATTGAGCGCCAAAAACATATGACGCACCAACAGACAACTACAGCAAAGTCAACATGCTTATCCGGACACTTTATTAGGCAACAACAAAGTTATATAGGGATATCTGGCATGTATCTGCTCCTTTTACAAATGCGCCCAATCCTCCGTTTGTTGGCGCTTTAAAGAGATCTGCATGTTGGCAGGCAACGTCTGCTGAACAACCAACTAGCCTTATGATCCAATTCTTAGCGTGTTACACGATTGGATATTTCGGTATGAGAAAAGAAAGCAATATTGGATAACAAAAATCATCACATATTGATCAGATTTCTAGTCGACACAATGAAAGACAATATGAAATCATGGAAGGAAATTGTCAAGATCCGTCCAATTAATGGTGTGGTTGAATCTGTGACAAAAAATTAAAGAAACTATTAGTACGAACGCTGCCAAGAATATCTTCGTTACTTTTTAATATCCCGAAAGAATTTATAAGCGAAAGTGTGCATAAAAGGAACTTGCTTATCAAATTTCAGATGATTATTCCATTAAGGATTTGGATCATATTAATTTCTTTTAGATCTCAAAATAGAAACGTTCTGATTTCAAAAAATAAAGATTAAAATTTTGGTAATTTAGCTAATTAAATTCAAGCCTTTGCGAAAATTAGTACTATATTTATTTGGCTGTAAGAGCTCAGGTCGATCCTAATCAGAGAATACCGCTGAAGTAGATAAGGAAAAAGATGATTCCTCTCCAGAAGAAACCTTCAACAAAGTGGATGAAAAGGTAATGAGCGAACAAAAAGTTGGAACACATTCAAAGAACATTACCAATTAAATGTCTCTGAATTTTTTCAGATAGAAGAATTGTATCGTTTAAAACCCTCCTACGAGAAATTCAGGCTGAAGAGAACAACGGAAGATAAAAGCAAGGAAACGAAAAATTGGCATCCATTACCAACAGAATTTTATTTTAAAAAATTATCAATATTACTAATTTAGAGACAATTTTACTCAATGAGAATTGATTCTAAAAGTTAATTATTATGATGTTTACATATTAACAACCATCAAACGGAAACATCAACAAAAACTACAGTATACCACCACCACCCCACCAGGACCAACACAACCAAGATCACTACAATTATATTACAAATGTAAGGGAGCACGGGTAAAATCATAGAAATCATCATCTACTGCAAGAATTTCTTCCAAATTTTGTTATCCAATTAGTGTCGTCCATAAACGCAAAGGAGAAAATAGATTCGGATAAATTGAGCTTTTCCGTCCTAAATCTGTGAATGCCAACAGATTTACTTAGGCCTATATCACCAGCCTACTATGAATATAATTTTGATTCTTTATAACATAAATAATGAAGTTTGCATTATAAAAATAATAATTAATTATTATAAAATTATATAAAGGAGACGAGCGTCAACATCTTTCAACTTTAAAATTTTTCTTCTAGAACCAAACTTCCTTTGGTTCGACTTTTCCAATTTCGTTTGGTTTTCCAATTTCGTTTTAAAAAGTATAAAAACCATAAGTTGGAAAAGGTTCGTAAGGTCTGAGTTTTGATAAATATTATAATAGAATTGAACATTTTTAATTTGAAGAAATATTTTTAAGTTGTAGTTATTTGAAAATAAAAATACTATTATATACATTCTGGAACTGTGAGCATCACAATGTTATTTGACAAAATTTGTGGCTTTGGACAACATATAATATAAGTAGGAATGTTTTATATTTTATTGAATTGAAAATTGTCGTTATTTATAACTAAAAGAATTTTTCTAAAAGATAAAAAAAAACCCCAAACATCAAATTGAAATTTTAAAAAATCACGTGATTATAATAATAATGATTCGTGATTGGTTAAAATTAAATCATGTGATCAATATATTAGGCCAAAATCAAAACATTTTATTTTATTAATTCTTTAAAAATAAAATCTGAAACAGTTTGATGTGATTTATATTTTTCTAATACATAATCAGCCTGTATACCTATCAATTATTTTTGATAAAATTCCATAAATTTTGCTGTTTTTATACATATTTTCTTATATGATTTAAAGAAACTGAATTTAATGTATGTGGAACTGTTTCTTATAAACCTTTCCATGTTTAATTGCAATACTATTAAATATAATATCTTGCAGCTTCCCAATATATTTCAATATAATTAAGCTCACAATGAAATTTTGGATAAAATATTACTTTATGTTTAAGTCCTTCAATAACTTTTTGTAAAAATAGTTTTTGATTAGGAAAATCCTCTTAAGCAACCAAAATATAATATGTACAATATCTTGGATTTTCTAATAAAATCTCTTTATTGTCACAAAATCCTTTAGTCCTGATCTTCATAAATTACGTTCTTGTAAAATTATTCTCATTTCTTTAGATTTTCTATAGAGTTTTCATTTGAATAGTTAATAGGAAATATCATACTTTGAACTTGCTTATTAAAAATAGTATTATGTATAATTAGTTATTTTTTATCAGGATTAAGATTCATTTATATTATCAGCTAATTTTACATGAATAGATTAATTGTCAAATGTAAATACTGCAATCATTCCAGAATGTATTTTTTCAAATATTGGAATTGCTTAAGTTTTAATCTATAATTATTATAATATAAAAAAGCAGATTTTTTATAAATAATTAAAATTTGATTGTTTTTATTATATATATATTAACATATCTGATCAATTAATTGGTCAATTTTCTACTATTCATCAAAATTCTTTCTAAAATTAATTATAATACAGGCTTCATATGAAATCATCTCATTTAATTTTTAATCTTTCAATAGTTTCTGTTAAAAAATCGCTAATATAAATAGATTATCCTTATTTTTTTTTAAGTAATGCTGTTTATTTTGGGTTTTCAACCTAATTTTTGTTTATCATTTGATTGAAAAGTTGTTTCATCATAGATAATAAAAATATGTAAATGTTTATTATCTTTTAATTTAAGATTAATTTGAGTTTCAAATTCTTCATTAACAAACTTTGACATTAATTTTTGATAGTTATAAATAGTAATTTATTAAAAAATAAATAAAATTTCTATTAATAAAAAAAAAATAACAAAATTATAATACTTAGCCATAATCTTAAAGAAAAAAAATATACCCTTCAGAACCTGTTAAGGTAGAGCCTAATAAATTTATCGATTTAGCTTTAGAAAGAAGTGTTATTTTAGATGATAAAATGAAAAAGACTAGAAAAGAAGTCAAAGTTCAAGTCTGTTCAGATATCTGAATTGTCTACTGTTCAAACTCAACCAATCCTAGTAAGTTTAAAAAGCTCAAATATAGACAAAGAGGAATTATATACATTATATAAGAAAATCATTAAAAGAAACATAAAAAATTAGCAAATGAATGTGAAGTAACTTTGAAAATAACTTGCCTATTCTTCTTCTTCAAAAATAAATTTTTCAGGATGAAAAGCTATCAAAATATGTTTATTGTTTTCTTAATTTATTTTTAGATCAGATGGCTTTATCACCTGCAAATACATAGCATCAAAGGAGAAAAGTTTATCATAACATATTTATAGTCTTTTGCAATATTTATTGATTTCTGCATTATACTTAAGAGTGATATATAGCATTTTTCAAGTTTTTCATAACTCACTTTTTTTTTAATATATGGGAGGCGGTCAGTAGAAAAGGGGGAAATCCAAAATT